TGCAATTTGCCTTGTTAGGGTTTTGGGTTGCAGAAAGTTGGAATGGGTCAATGTGAATGATTTCATGGGTAACAGTAGGTGAGTGGAAGGCAGGAAGTTAGCCGGCCGTGGGTGGAACCCCCTGTATGTGTGGAGGTTTTTGGCAGCCTCAAGAGCAGTCAGTCACGCTTGCTTTGGACTCATAAAAACGTACCTGAGACAGAGTTTGGGTTTCTGCTGGATCTCACTGCAGCCCTAATTGCTCTTCAACTGCTTCAGAGGAAACCTCCCAGCAAGCCTACGGCTGTAGAATGAAAGTGCTACGCTCCTAACATGCCATCATTCTTCATGTTATGACTGAATGACTGTTTTGCATGAATGAAAGACCAAAACTTCACCTGAACGTGCTTGATACTTATCAATGAATATCTGCAAGGCCAGTTCACCATGTAATGTCGACTTCATGGTCCAAATTATGATTCATTTAAACTGTCAAATAGTTTCAGAAATGATTGGTCTTGGATGTTTTTTAGGAATGTTTTTACATTTTGGGAAATATTCACTTTTTTGGCAAGAGTCAGATGAGAAGATTGATACCACTCACGTCTGTACGGTAAATATGTGGCTGAAGCTAGCAGCTAGCCTGACTGTGATAAAAAGGTAATAAATCCACCTACCAGCACCTCTCAAGCTCACTAACTTAGACATTTTACATAATTTGTTGATCCATACAAAAACCAAAATGAAAAAACTGCTCTGTCTCTCAGGGTTTGTACAGCCTGGGTCTTGATGTTTTGCTAAGCTGAGCTAACAGGCTGTTGGCTGTAACTTCATATTTACAAGTTCACATACGATTTTTGTTTCTCTTCTCATCTCTCTGCAAGAAATTGAATAATGTTTACATATTCTTTTAAAACACACTAGGTACATTTCCCCTTGTAACTGCAAATTAACAAAGAGATTCCCTCAAAATTCAAAAATGTATTTTTCTCTATTTGTTACAGAAAATCATCCTCAGACAGTCTATCTGTCACAATATATTGTTGATGGGTGAGGATATGTGAAGGGCCCTTCATGTGGTTCATGTACAAGAGCAGCAGCTTTATACCAGCCCTCTGCCTTGTAGACACGACACATTGAGGCACTTATTAAGTCTTTGTGTTAAAAAGTCTTTTCAGAGGCTTCTTCAGTGATGTTCATATGGACCCTAGGCTTTCGTAAATACAATACTTGAGGCTCAGAGGGATCTTCAGTTAGCTGTCAGAAGTGGGAACTGCGGATTTGTTTTGTTTCACGTAATATGTTTTCTGTGGTTGAAACTGTAAACGGCATCGGTTTATCGTGTGCAGGGAGTGGCACTTGGAATGGCGTGTACGGTCCTCTCCTCGTATCCATAATCTAACAATGACCACCCTCTGTGTGGCTTTTCTATATGTCTGGGTCACTTCAGTTCCACCGTGATTGACAGAAGAAACACTAGAAGAGCCAAGGCATTACATGATGATTTGTGGGGAAGGAAGAAGCCATAGAGCACAGTCAAACAAGGCACAGAGCATGTTTTTGTAGCATTTGGATGTACTGGGTTTGAATGTGTCTGCTGTTTGAGAAGAGGAGAAAGAAACAATATGCAAAACAAAAGCCACATCCATAACTCAGAAGACACATCCTCTAGCACACTAAACATACAGCTTTATGTTGCTGCCAAATTAGGTTAAGCTGCAATGATCTATAGAGACTTCAGAACTAACACTTAACTCATTTCCCTTTGATTTTCCCTTCTTTAGTTCCACTTAAGAACATGGCTACTACATGCTTTGGCAAACTGTTTTCAATTTTCATGCCAATAAAGTAAAAGTTTTTACTCATAAGCCTCTCAGTTCTGCTGTAAAGGAGCTACTCTTATGTTTCTTTTAGTCTCAAAAATCCAATTCACATGAATGAGTGTTTTCTTTAAGAATGGCTGAAACCTGCTGGCAGTCGACAGATTGATGTAAAGTGTGCTAGACATTTTGTCGGTAGAGTAGGACGTGAGTTGGACGATGCTGCCCCAGACACTGTGAATTGTGGCCTCCTTCCTGACATACCTGTGGCCTGAACCTCCAAACCTTTCCACAGACACACACAAGCTAATCTCCCTAGATCAGCACCAAAAGAGTTTCTCTCCACCGTATAGAGCCTTCCCTCCCCCCCCAATCTTGCACTAATTCCAGGATGTGGGATCTGCTGCATTCAAACGGCGTGTGATTATGTTATCCTCAATCAGCGTGCATTGCGAGATTAGCAACCAGCAAAACAAATGTTTGACAACAAAGAAGCAGTGGGATTTTTTGAGCCAGAGTCATGAAGAGACGTTTCAGTGACTATAATTTCTTTGCTGATTGACTGGCCAGTGATCTAAGATGACCACAGGCCTTGATTTTATTTTTCTATTATTGTTAGGATAGTACTGTTAGCACACTGTTAATAGTTACAGGAGTTGAGCCTACTCAATACGGGCGGGAGAAATAAGCTTTCCAGCCTCACAGTTCTTTACTTTTGCCAATTTGGCTTTCCCTGTCTGTCAGTGTTGTGTTCAAGTTTGGCGAGTGCAGAGGGAGTAAATGTGACCAAGTTAATGTGAATGTCAGTTTGCTGTAAACACACCCAGACTGTATATTCTACAGAAATATATGGTTAAGTATGAGGTTTCGGCTAATGTTGCAGTTTAGTTTTACTGAATGGAAGGATTGACAGAATGAAATACGAGACATATTTGAGGAATTATGTTTGTGGTGTTACCTGATGGGAAAGAGAAACACTTTTAATACAGCTGTAACAACTTTTTTTTAAATAAAAATTGACATTTACAGTTTTTAGCATGTTTTAGTGTAAATCATTTAATTCTATATGTGGGTAAATGTGAAAATATGACTGTATATGAAGATATAAATGCCTGCACATTTCTGTATGGCACATGATTTAAAAACAACATCAGAAAGTCAGAAAAACATTGTCCAACAAGTAGGGGCAACTGACTCTGAAGGAACTGAATTGAGAGAAACCTGCAACTGAAATAAGAAATAATAATATCTTAGACACTGGATTGACAGATGAACATAGGGCACAATTTTCCATCTGAGAATTGGACGAGCTGACACTAGTCATAATTTGGGGTTTTCATTTCTCCTTCATGTCTTACCGAGAGAGTGCTGACTGGGGATGAACAATCACCAATCTGCGTGATGAATAGGCTCGGAGCGCACACCCCGGCGCTGCTGTGATCGATGGGTTGTCGCTGTAAGCCTCATCCCTAAAGACCACCAGAGACACATTCTGATTAGCACTTAATCTTACTTCCATCCACCCAGCTTCAGGAGAATGAGTGTAGTTTGGCAGAGCCAGCATACCTCTCTGACGACTGTCTCCCAGCACTCCAACAAAAGAAATGAAAAAAGATGAGTCTGACATCCGCTGACTGATTTTCAACATGATTACAAACTGATGCTTGCACTGGGCCCACTTAGCGCTCACTTTCGTCTGGGTGAATCTGTTCAGAGAAATCTAATATGCGGATCCACAGCCAGTAACGCAGGCATGCTCTGCTCTGTCTCTCAGGGTTTGTCCAGTTTGCTGCACAGGGTTTTATTAAGCGTTGTGGTAGGTGGCTAAGTTTGAACGGTGCTGTTACCCGGTCCCTGCTTGTGATATTTAAGACTTGGCTTACATCAATTGAAGTGTCTCTCGTTTGGATAGTTTGGATTCGCCCAAGGACATTTTCCTGTAAACGGGACGTTAAGGAGTTTACGCTGAAAGTCACTTATTGTGGAATGGACTGTCTTTTTACTGGCTCCTTTGTCTTCCGCAGGCAACTCGAGCCGAGGCCAGAGCCACTGCGGTTTTGGGGGCTTTCATCGGCTGTCTCAACACAATCGTTCAGGAGGCCAGCTCTGACCAGAATTAATGCAATATTCACATTCATAACCAATCAGCATTCGAACGTCGAGAGGGGAGCCAGAGTTTGCATGAATGACAAATTGTTGAATTGAACATATTTACTATGAATTAGAGAATATCCTGCTGATATATCTATTATGGTTGTTTTGGTTTTATTCTTGTACTCGGGTTGTCTTCTACTGGTCAGCCCTCCCACAGTTGAGTCTGTTACCTCAAGTTCACCCTGTCCTTGTCGTTGGGTGAAGTCAGAGTCATCCACAGATGAGTGATGATACAACGGTCTAAAAGAATTTTGCTTTTCTCTTTTTTAGTACATAATAAACAGCCTTTTTAACCACCGTGTTAGATGCAGCTTACAGTGCAGCTGTAGCAAAAACAATAGGACTGACATACTCTTTTAGACCCTCTACACATAGAGCTGTAGGAGCTATGCTCGCTGCACAACCCTAACCCTAGTTGGGTTCACGTCACTTCGTGCACCAGGTAGCAGGAATTAAAAAAAAAAAAAGGCCTAGACGGTTTGTGAATTGTATTTTTAAATTTAACACAAAGGTAGACACTGGCAGAGATGGGAAAGATGGGTATAAATCTGATGATCAGCAAGCGATGGGTGCATGAAAACGTTCTCATCCTTTTTGTCTGAAAGCAAAAGTGTTAGAAGCTGTTTTGAACAACCACATTCGAAGGGGTATGAATCCTAGAAAATAGAGAGGGTTTAGACATGATGAGCATTTAAATGTAGATAACTGTGCGCACTTCAGACAGCCTTTCTTCAAATACATTCACGTCGTTGCACTGGTTTACTTTGTACATATAAAATTGACAGAAGTAGTTGTGTGAAGATCAAAGATGGCTTAAAATAGAAGTTCAGCCTCGGCCTTTGTCCTTCCGCCAATCGCTGCGTGAAGCTGCTGGATTGTCAATCTCAGAAATTTACAAAAACTGACGCCAGGAAAGTGTGAGTGGGGAGGAGATTTCAGATACTGTTCAACCATCCAACAAGCACTTCGGTTGAAACATATTGACACTTTTATGTATTTAATTCCATTTTACTAATCACATTTGTTAACTCTGTGTTTGTCCTACAGCTAGCTATGGAGCTTATCCCATCTGTAAAGGCTGCTCGGTGTGCTCCAGGGACAATGGCTGTGTAAACTGCCAGCCCAAACTCTTCCTGTTTTTGCGGAGGGAGAGGATGAGGCAGTACGGGGAGTGTCTTCACGACTGTCCAGCCGGATACTACGGCATGCGCAGCCCTGAACTCAACATGTGCTCCAGTAAGTTCTCTTGAGTTTAATCCACCCAGCCTCCCTCCACCTCTAATCCTCCCTCTCCCACACTGCTGACTTTCCCCTCCTTTTTCCAACACCCCCATCACCCCATCTTCCCCAGGCACACATACACATTCCCTCAACTTCCCCTTTTCCCACAACACATGATTTATTGTCAATTATCCAGAGGAGACACACATACCTCGCAATTTGAACGGCTCATCTGTTCACACAGGTGGATGTAAGTAGTGAAGCCTTGTCTTAGCAGTGTCTCCCTTGGGATTTAACTGAACTCCAGCAAAGATGAGCGCTGTTTCTCATTTCTGTTTAACACTCCCTTTACACTTGCATTACCAAACTATAGTCACCAGGATGTTTGAAGGCATTAAATCCCGATCCAGATTCAGCCAAACCTGCTCCAGAGACTTGTATCGTCACATTAAGAGCAACATGTAAAAACCAACCCTTTGGCCATGTCATTCAATATCATCTGAACTACAAAGATGATTATATATTAGCATTAAGGCATGAAACTAACGTCTTTTGTTGACTGTCTGCAAGGGCTTGTGGATTGAGACTTTCACCAGACAGTGTAATTTCTTGGCAGCCAAAGTAGTTTTTTGACTTTGAACAGAAATCCAGTCACAACTGAAGTGTCCAGGTCCTCCACCAACAACTGTATGTTCAATGAGGTTTGATGAGGAAAAACAAAGTGCTGACCCTTAAGATGTATTTTTGAGTTAGGCAAACATGATCTAATTCTAAACTTTGCTCACTTTTAAAAGTCCAGCGTTGAATTAGGGGGCTCTAAATGTAGAGTATGTTTTCATTAGTGTATAGTCACCTGAAAAAATAATCTACGGCTCGGTCCGCCATGTTAAACCACCATTTTATCAATAGGAGCCCAGAATGGACAAACCAAGCACTGGGTCTAGATAAAGCCTTTTGTGTTTTTTTTGCGACCTTCACAGGCACTGTAGTTTCTCCTACACTCTTGGAAAGGTGGATTAGGGCAAAATCCTACACATTGGTCCTTTTAATTATTGTTTCAGTGATAAAGACATATTATATTTTGCTAATAGTCTCCTCATTGTAACATATTAATCTTGTGGACTGCAGAAAATGTTTTTTTTAAACAGACCTTTGCTCTCACACACTCTGAATTAGACCTATGTTTTACTATTAAAAAAAAAAACCTCCAACAATAACAGTTTAAAATCAAAATGTTCTCATGATTCTCGTTAAAGAATAACTCTAAAAATCCAATTAATGAAATGTCTCCCTCTCCTCCTCATGTAGCACTCCGATCTCATAACCTTATTTTAACATGGAATATGCTCCGAGAGAGAGTGAGAGAGAGAGCCTTTATAGGTTTACACGGAGCCTGAGGTGTTGGCTGAGTGTTTCATATGAAAACAGAGAGGAACTTGAACTCATTTGGTTCCCTGAGCCAAACTCCTGACAGATGCACTAAAATGAAGCCCCAGAGGAGGGTGTCCGGACCGTTAGGCCCAATAATGTGAACATGTAGCAACCGCAGGAAGAAAAAAAAAACATTCTGCTTACCCAATCACTGCCGACCTAGATGCAAATACATCCGCTGGCTCCATTTGATTATGAAAATGAAAAGCATGTTAAAGCCGCACCAGCCAACTTGGGGATGTCGGTACCCCCTACTTCAATAGGCTATCCAGAAATCTGGCAAAGAGCATGTTCATGTTTACCAGGAGTGATTATTTGTCAGTGTTGAGTAGTAATGCAATAATTAGTAACACATTGAAAGCATTGAAAGATGCTAGCAGCGGTTCTGTTGAAATAAGGGGCTATAGGGCAAATAGGCTTTTGGTCCAATGAAACATTTTTCAGACTACTGGGTTTTTGGAGTAATGGGCCATTTGCGGTTTCACAGTAAGGGGAAGGTCTTCTGCATGCAGTCACAGATACTAACATTAAGCTAGCAGTTAAGTCAGTACTCATATACTCCTATATAATACCTCAAATATGTAGGCTAGCTGCATGTTAAACCATACTGTCTTGTTTTCTATTTTTACACGATTTCAATAGTTTAGTTTAAGACACTACATTTTCAAGAAACTTGGGCATCACTGTTCTTTATACAAAGGAGGTACAATTTTCCAGACAGTTGGAAGATGTGAATCTGACATTGTCGGGGCAAAAGAAGGAAGACACTTCTTCTCTGTTGCAGCATCTCTGGGTCATTTAGGCTGGTGCGATCACAGACGTTTTTAAAGAAATTCTCGTCTACTGCAGTTCTAACCAGTAACAGTCATTTCGCCCTGTTTTCATGACTCAGAGAAAATTGGAAGAGAAAGACATCTTGTTCTCTGGTTTTTTTCACTTTAACCCTCCTATCCTAACCGCTGTATCCTCATGCTGGGTGAATTTTGACTTTAACTGATCCTGATGTGTGGCAAGTTAATCTGAATCTCTCTCTGTACCAACTACTCATAGAACAACATCTTGTATTGTCACGTAGCATCAGATCTCAGAGCGAGACCCACTTTGATGTGATCGCTGCTTCAGTCATAGCTCTCTAATCCAGTTTCCTATTTGACCCTCATTCTCAGCTGCGCCCCGCATGTCATTTTCACTAAAGAGTTCACATCCGACCTCCATAAACGGATATTTTATTAGGTTGGAAGCTAATTGTCGGGTCAGTGAATATTATTTGTGAGTTGACACAGACAACTGTTATGCAAGAGCTCAAAGGTACATTGGACAAATGACGGTGAGGGATTCTCCGCCGACGTGGTCAGAGCTGCCGTGTGCTCCTGGTTTCCAAAGAGGCCTGGAACGTGGCATTATACGTCTCTGTTATCATGAGCTTTTTAAACACAGGCTCTGAAATCACTTAGGGAGCAGCTGCTTATTATTACACCAGAGTTTGTCTGTGTGATCTTATCTCATTCAAGAATTTTTTTGTGGACTGCCTGGGTAAAGGAAAACAAGAGCTAGACAAGCATAAGGCTTATACACTCAGCCACTCGCTGGCTGAAACCTCACTCTCAGTTTTTCTGCAGGGGCTCCTGAGGCATGTGACAGGGAGAGCAAGGGATGAATACACATTTTACTCTCTGAGCTAGCAATACGATGCAGTTTGACACAAAGGAAAGTCACACAGATAGACTGACCGATAAGGAGTTTAAGGCCATTGCAATACTGCTAATGTTAGGCTGAAATAATACATTTTAAAAGGTATTGTTTTGGTGGGAAAACTTCTGAAACTGCATTTAGAAAACATTCTTCAGTAATCTTTTTCAGCATCATGGGTGGGCTGTAGCCTATCCCACCATGAGATGAGCAAAGAAACACTGGGCAGGATAAACGGCTAAAACATTATGTGTGTGATATATTCACCATTAACATTTTTTTGCCATTTATTTACCATGTATTGCAGTAAAATGTCACATTTCAGACTGTAAATTCAGGTATCGGGGCAGTTTTTCAGCCATTTTAAGTCAACCTCCTGGTCATAAACTTGAGGATTATCCGAATGCACCATTGGTTTTGAAAATGGAATTACAAATATGCAAACATCTGCATTCACTGCCAGTTTTAGAGACTTTAGTTTGAGGGGACCTACTAACATTAAAGTTACAACACTTCATAAAAAAAACAGCACCATGACTTACTAATTTCTCAGGACAATTTGAGAAACTGTGACATTTGATGAATTTAAAATTTAAGGCTCACTGTTCTGGGGGATTTTCCCTACACTGCAGAGAAAATAGCACCATAATTAGAGCCAAAAACAATAGGAGCTATACTTTCCGCAACATAGCATAACTGGAGGCCAATTTACAGCTACACTTCAACTGGATTCCAAAGAGGCCCGAGACATGGGAGCCATAGTGTTAACTACCATTACTGAGATGTAGCTGGTTCATTAGCAATGCCGTTTTGTTGAATAATATACTTTCAGTATGCCCATATATTATGCTGGGTCTCTGCTTTGCAAGAACTCCTTTCAGCAGCTAATGGATGGGTTGATATGACCCATAAACCATATGCAGTAACTCCACTGTTATCCACAGGGGTTCTTATCAGCCGGCCAGAAGAGGCCCCACACCAGTGTCTGTGGGTGTCAACCCGCTGCTCTGCAGGGAAGATTTGTAGCAACGTTCACACAGTATGCTGCTTTATGTACAGCCAAATTTGTGTGAATGCGGTGCAGTCATGCTCTCGCCTCAGTCACATTTCATAATACCTCGGTTTTAACATACATTCCCAAGCCAAAGCATATTCTGTCATTGTGTATCACAAGCAAGCTCTCTGGCTGAAAGAATTATGAGCTGAAAGGCGACTATCAGAGCTGTCTTTAAGAGAGAGAATGTGTTGAGAGGGTCATCATGGGAGCAGTACTGTATTCAAAACTTCCTCCCTTGGGGTATATTATGGACCCCCCACTGCTACACACACATACACACACTCTAGCCACCAACCCAGTTGCCTTACCCCACTGCAGCGGGTTTTAAAACAGGCAGAAACCCCAATGTGTTCACTGCCAACCAGCAACCAGTCTGATGAAGGCTTGAGATTGCTAATATCCTGGAAGTGTGGTTTAAATATCTCAGCTCATTCGGTGCCAGCGTAATGTGCCCCTAGAGACTCTTCTGTCGAAGGTAATATTTTTGGATTGCCAATTGTGATTTCTTTTTTACTGCATTTTTCGGACTGAGGGAATCTGTTACTAAATCCCAAAAGTACATTATGGGTACCGAAGCTGTATAAAGGAACATGGGTTTTGCAACCTTTAGTTGGCGGTGTTGGCAGTTCTTTCTCCTGCTCTGCCCCTCCATGTTTTTCATTCAGGCTTTTTCTTTCTCGCTCTAATTCTGAGCTTGTGGGTATTTCCATTGCACGATCTAACCAACAAAAAGACCAGTTGCTTTTGGCCTTTGAGCTTTACCAAGGGACATTTAATCATCACAGATTTACTAACTGCACTTTCAGATTTGCCAGACAATACAATAGACCCACCAAACCAAGCCCTGCTCCCAGGACTTCACAGCCAGACACAGAGTTGAATCGGGTTTTTTCTCAAAACACGGTGTAATTGTGCATACTATAGTGTGAGTGGAAGGGCTGTCTGTGCTTGACCACTGTCTGAAGCTTGAGCTGTCTGTGTGTACGATGGAGCTGGCTGCGCAGATACAGGAGCAGATCCTGGTATATCACAGACTGTGTTCCTTGGATTGAAGAAGCTGGGAAGACCACTGACACATCTGTCATCCCCTCTGGGAGATCCTGATTGACAGGAACACCATCTCTGCTTCACCTAGCTCTACACTGTTGTGCGGGGAGCACCCATGTGGAAAAAACAGCACGGAGAGAGTTGGGAAGAACATGGCAGCTCTGGCCTTTGCCATGAACTCCTGCCATGACATGGCTGGGTGGCAGCGAGCAAGCCAGAGCTTCCATGTCAGCCAAACCCAGGGCCTAGAGAGTAGGTCAGAGCTGTTCGACTCAGCTTGGAGATGAAGGATGGAAAAATAGGGCTTGTTTTCCCCCTCACACTGCCAGGCCTTTTACGACATAGACACTCCTGCTGCGCAACATCGGGTCTGGTTAGCTTTCTGGAGGAGGCTGAGACTCTCTCGGTAGACAACCCACCTCCAGCTCAGATAACGTAAAAGACAAAGTCTGGACCATGAGAGATTCCTTAGTCTTCACAAAGTGATTTAGCTCTTTTTCTTTACACGGTGTATATTCATGTAAATAAATAGAGTGATTACACATGGTGCTGTCAGCCTGCAGTTGACTGAAGCTGACATGAGGCTTTGAGTGTCCATGATAAAAATCGGTGGGTTCCTTATCCAGACCACAGCAGAGGGACGGCTTCTGCCAAGCATGCACCATTAGATCACAAGTAGCGCTTGGTGACTCATCTCTCAACTTCAAATGCACTTGACATGCAAACCACATAAAATTCAAGTGCAAAATGAAACAAACAAAAAAAAAAAGTGTAACAGCGACATGGGTAACGGTGCAACTAGCCCAGCACTGATTTCTTCAAATCGTGCACACTCAGTCACTTTACTGGCAGCTTTTGAAATTTCTCTCAGAGCTGAAACATAAGGCTTTTCCTCCTCTGTTCATAATATAACTCACAGCCAGAACCAGGCTGGGAGATAATGATGATAATACGTTTAAGTCCCAGGAACACTGGGCCTTCAATGGGATCTGATGACCTCATTATTTCTCATTAGTCTCCCTGAGGCACCTAGATGAAGACTTTAAAGGTGGTCCAGAGGTTAATCCTGCAGGGAGAATGAACCCACTCCCCTGTTTCTGTTTCTGGAGCTGCTGGACAAGCTGCCTCACTGCCGACTCGGCCAGTGATCGGTGTGGGAGCTTCTCCAGTGTCACAGATAGCCCATGCTGTCCCAGATAGCCTTTTGCCAGATAAACGGACAGAGGGATAAATGTCTGTCATGGTGATCTCTTCCGACCCACCTCGTTTTCTGATGACCCCTGACCCTCCAGCTTTTCCTTCCTGCATTCTAACTCCCATGGTGCCGCATTGATGTGTCATCCACCTCATCCATCTCTCTGTGACATTATTACTTATCTTCTATTTAGAAAACAAGATTTCCGAGCATTTGCACCATTGCCTTACCACATCTGAAACTGAAACCAAACGCGATATTTCAATCAAGAACCTTGTCAAGTGCTACTGCTGCTGCAAGGATACAGTATTTCGCACATCTGTGTTGCTCATATTTACTGTCAATAACTGAGGATTGCACAACAACCCCAGTGCTTGAGAGTACTGCCAGATGTTCTTGTTCCCCCTCTTACTCTTTTACTTTTTTGTTTGGGAGCTAAAAGTCTCTCAGGTGATGACAGGCCTGGGAAGTGTGAAGGGTAAAAGACAGCTTTGTGCTTTCCAATTAGCTCTGTGATTTATTAGCCTGTTCCTTGTATTTGGCTTGTCTTGTATCAAACCCAAGCCTGACTGATTCACCCAAAAATAAGTAGATGAGAGGCAGAGAGCTGAAAAAAGGACAGCATATTGCATAAAATGTATTTATACTTCCCTTGGACACACATTCCACACCAAAATCTCTACAGCACTGCATAACTCCATAGATCCAAGACATATGTTGAGATATAAGATAAAAAGCAAAGCAAGGTAATACCCAGATAAGCTAAATAATATCAGATGATTAAATTAATAACGTAAAAATGAGAACACAGGAAATTACCAAAAAGATCAGTGATTTATGGTTAGTGTGTCTACGTTTTTCAGAATGTGGAGTACAGCTTCATTGCAGAGTGGATCTATCTCCAGCCATATCTGATTGGTATGTGTGTGTTTGTGCATTTCTGTGTGTGTCCATGGTTTGTTTAGACTGGTCGGGAAAGCGTGAGACCAGAGTGAGTGGGCAGAGGCCATACTTTAGGGTTCAAAGTAAAGCGGGGAGGGACCCCCTCGTTTTGGAGGAATGTCGAGGAGGAGGCCTGATGGTTAGCTGGAGATGGTGTAATTAAGGGGTGTGATTGTGAGAACCTTCCCTTCCCCGGGCCCTGCAAGGGTCACAGATAAAAGAGCAGCCCTTAGCCTCTGTCGCTCTCACATTTGGAAAAACACAGTAACACAGGTTTACACGAGAAATGCACACGCGCTAATGCGTGGTTGTATCCGCAATCAGAGGAGCAGATAATACCGTACCTGGGAATCCTCCTGCAAGTGGTGGGAGTCGGTGGCTGCAGGTTATAGATTGTGGTTCCTTGACATTGGAAGCCTATTGGGCAATAAGGCCACATAGAGCTTCTGAGGAGCGTCATAAATTAGACAGCTCTGGGAGGCTCCTTCTAATCATGTGGGCCTGTGCGTCGCCCTGATGGTGTGGTTCTAGTAATTTGGCCCTGCCTGACTTGCTATTTGCAGAGTAAGAGCTTGATGACACATTGCAAGCTCCTTTGCAAGCGCGGCACTGTGTGTCATGCGCAGTGACAGGGTGTGGCGTGGGATGATAAGTGTGCTGTTGCGTTTGCTGGCTACATAAGCATTTGTTTGGTGCAAAATGTTGTTGCCTCCCCCCCCGCACATCCCCCTTTCCTTACCCACCTTCCCTGTTTCATATCATAGCCAAAGTGTAAAGGGTCCACACAGCTGGCCATCATTTTCGTCATTCAAACTTTAATGAAAACCTAGTTTCCCAATAATCCTCAGTTATGGGAAGAGACACAGATTGCAGTAGGGTGGAGTGATAAAGGAGCGTATTAAGGACACTATTTAGAGCCCTAATGGGATGTATTCTTCCTGCTGCAGCACGCTATTAGTTGAAAACATGTGAGCCTGTGTGTTTGTCTTCAGACTGTTGGATGTCGGTGCAATTTATTGAAAGAGGTCAGCGTGACATAATTCCTCACCGTCTCTGCTGTTGTGTTTTCACACTGTTGATTGGCTCACTCTAAACAAGAACATGAAGATGAAAGAAAAATCTCTGTCAGGCAAAACAAGTTTTCTGAAATACACTTGAGCCCTGCAGAGAAATGATTCACAGGGCATCGACGGCTTTTTTTGTGGGAGAGACAGTATAATCCTTTCAAGAACCCCCTTTCCCAAACCCCTTAGCTTTCGATCAACTCCAGATGAGAGGGTTGCTCAGACCCTGATGACTCTTCTCTTTCCCTCCTTCTTCCTCCAGGGTGCAGGATAGAGAACTGTGAGTCCTGCTTCAGCAAAGACTTCTGCACCAAGTGCAAGTCAGGTTTTTACCTACACAAAGGGCGCTGCTTTGATAAGTGCCCCGAGGGCTTTGCCCCGCTGGAGGACACCATGGAGTGTGGAGGTACGTGAAACACAACAGATATATACAAAAAAAAGTTTCAAGAGAGTAAACAACTTTTACAGCTTTCTTTACCTTTGCACAGTACTCTATAATTTCTCAGTTAACCTGCTTATATTGTACCAAAACACAAGTTTAACGTTCAACTGGGACCACACACAAAGAGGTTATAGCATCCCAGTAAAGCTCCTTCACCCTGTATTAAAGTTTGACCTGGGGTCTTGGAGTTGCACTCTGCTGTGGTTTCACTGCACATCACTGTTTGTGTGTGTCTCTGCAGAGGGCTGTGAAGTGGGCCAGTGGAGCGATTGGGGAGCCTGCACCAGGAGAAACAAAACCTGTGGCTACAAGTGGGGTCTGGAGACCCGGACGCGGCACATTGTAAAGAAACCACCCAAGGACACAATACCCTGTCCCACCATCGCTGAGTCCAGGATGTGCAAAATGGCCATGAGGCACTGCAGGAGAGGTAAGAATGTTATACAGCCATATGTTGATGTGTGTGAGAGAGAGATATTCCCAGCTCCATCCATGTTCGCTTTACACTACTCTGGTGAATGTAAAAGAAAACAGCTCACTTATCCCATGGAGAGAAATCTTTCCCCCTCTCAGAGTTCCACCTGTTTCATGTAACCCTTGTACCTTGCACTCAGCCTTGTTTGTTCACCGTCTGCGTTTTTGAGGTGCACAGTGGTGTTTCCGTGCATATAATATACCAGTAGTTTTCCATGGCGGCCTTGTTCGAGCCAGCTCTTTTTCTGAGGTATATTTTTCCCCCCTCTCTCTCCCCATCTCCCTCCTCTCCTCAGTGGAATTCCTCAAAGTACGAACTGCAGGTTTCCTCAATGGCCGTCTCTGTTTCCTCCCGTCAGCTTGAGAGATATTTGTGGTAGTCACAGCATGTATGTCAGGCCATTAAATGAGAAGTCAAATCTGGAATTTCTCTGTGTGTGAATAGTGCAAAAAGTAAACCATTTCTCTAAGACGGTCCAAACATGCCATTTGGGGTGATGGCCTCAGTTAGCAGTGCTTTTAAAATAAATGTCTTTTCCCTTAATGTACTTTTACGTTTCTCATAAACTTTGGATTAGGATAGGCCAAGTGTAAATATTTAATTCATCAAATAAGGAAGCAATTATAGTGGCAGATATCATTCAGACTGTCAAAAAAAGAAAAACATTGTTTAACAGAAAGAGGAAAATATTCAAACCTCGAGGATTTTTCTCCATTTTTGGCCTGCAGTGTTGAATGGGAAGATTATTTAGTGAAGTGGTGAAAGAGTAAATAAACTTGAAATAAACCCTGATAGTTTCTCATATTACACCACTACCAAGGCACTCGCTACTCTCTAGGCTGGAAACTGTGATTCCATGGCACATTAAGTTCCTATAGCCCTGTCCTGTTTTTCAGAGGAATTCTCCCCAACCCCCACGCATCTCTTCATGACTTTACCGTGCCTGCTTGACCTTTTCCAAGAAACTTTATGACCTTCTTTAATTAAAATTTGGCATTGTTGCGCGTGGTTACTGGCGGTAATTATCTCAAGCACGAATTCACTGATGGGAAATTGTTGAGAATTCTAAATTGAGTGCATAGCAAAACCATTCTTCTTTAGACCTTTAGAAACCGACAGCAGGCTCCCCATGTGCGTTTTACTTAAAGCTACTGTTCCCTAGTGATGCTGCCATTGCAAGCCTCTCAGTACAGTTCCTTTTCCAATGACTGAGTTACATCTCTGTGGAAGATCAGCGGCCTCAGCTGTGTTGTTAAAAGCTGTGTGTAAAAGTGTCACTGTGTGTGCATCTTAGGACTCTGCGGGCTCGTGAAGTGCTGCGGTGGCCCGTTTAATAAAGGTAAATTTCAGACTTAGGCATGTGTTGTTAATTCCACGCTGCTCGACCGCTAGTGAAATATCCCCACTTGGCAAAAGCCAGTGAAATGCAACACTCTTCAGTTCAAATAAATACAATGTAAAAATGTAAGCGGCTGAAGTCGAACGGGAGGAGATCCAGTGCCGTCGCATGGGAGCTCGACCGACTGACATTGTAAAATAATCACTTCCCGTGACTGATAATAAAGCATAGTCCAATGGGAGGAAAGGCCTCCCTCTGAAATGCAGGTGATTAGGAAGTGGAGGTTCAAAAAAGGGTTGCAATATGGTTCATCATGAAATACCTTACCTTTAAATGAATACAAATTTCAAGAACTTTCCAAGCTATAGGTCCCTAGTACAACTTGCATTACAACAATGCAGAATAGTAAATTTAATCTTTAAATAGATATTAGAAAACTATAACCTCAATGTATAGATGTTGTATTCAGAAGAAAATATAAATATAAGAAGTGCTTATGACAATCACTTGGAACTTAAGAATTGAAAAAATGAAAATGAACATTTATATCAGCTCTTCTCACTGAACACCAGACACCAATGTTTAGGATAAGCATAGGATTATATAACTGCAGACGGTAAAGATGCTGTGGATTAAACGGAGACAGAGGAAGCAGCATGTAGGTATACCCTATTTATGGAAATGCTTATCTGATCACCCTGGCTTACATTTCTACATATCTATGTATTTAAATTACACTGGACGTCAATAACAGATCTCTGTCTCCCGGCTTAGCTGAACCGCACAAGGGCAACAGGAATGATCGTCTTCTTTTCCCTCTGTGCCGGCAAAGATCTAATCCTTTTGTAAAACACACACAAGCAGAGAATGTAAAGCCCAGATAACGTCAAGAGGAGAGGCGTTTTTACAGCAAACATGACGAGTTGTGTAAACCGTGTCTGATGTGTTCCGTACAAGTTGCCGATCAGTGTAAACACTGTATATCATTTACGCTGCTGGGATTAATTTACTGTTCTCAGCCGGTGTTTGCCAGGACAGCAGTGTTCTGATAACACACTTTGCCCTGAAAGTGGCGGGGAAAGATTGTGTGGAGCACACGGATAGACAAAATATGTGGCGGTAAGCTGTCACAAGCACGATTTTCCATCCAACTGTCAAGCTAATTTTAAGCAAACTTTTGAAGTTTGGAAAAAATTAAATGGGAATTTGGTAGGTTTCCACCAGATGGGTTTGCAAAGACTATTTAGGGAATATTCTCTAGAGAAGAATAACTAAAATGGACAACTGCGTGAATGACAATGCAGAAGGCTGTAGTGGACAGATTTCTTCAGAAATGCTATTTCAAAGCATCTAAAGCCATATTGAATAGTTTGACCTGTTTGTTTTTGGCAATGAGATTAAACAACTGCATTATTTATTTGGAAGAAGTGTTCCCATTGCTATTAATCACATTATTTCCGAAAACATCAAGTGATTAGAAAACCTTCCGTGCAATGTTGATGAATATAGAATGCTACCATTTTCACCCAGCTGTTTAAATTTGGTGCATAAATTTTGACGTAATACTTCAGTGGAAAATGTGCTAGATAATCTCTAGAGGACTAATGAAGTATTGTCTTGTGACTGCTTGGCTGGCGTGTCTGCCAGACGCTTGTATGGTACCCTGGAGACGGTAAAATGCTCTTCTATCGTCCGGATCCCTGGACTGGTGCACTGGACAGGCTATAAACAATAAAGAGACTTTATTAATAGCTGCACCGGTGCTATCAGCATTGACAGACTGGGTTCCCCCCTCTTTCTGTCTTGTGAGCTAACGGGAGGAGAGGAGAGGAAAGGTGAGGAGAGTGATAACACTGCAGCGCCCGGCTGCTCCATATTGATGCCATTAAGGAATTCCCTGCAGAGATTTCCCAGCAACCCCTGTCATCAGATTCACTGGTTTACAAACAGACATCTGTGACAAGTCCGATTCCTCTTTCTCTGCTATTTTTTTCTGCTGCCCAGCCTATCAACCCATCTGTGTCTCTTTCCTTTCTTTCACTCTTGCCCACCCACTCTACTATAATCTTTGAACAACAGCTGCCTCTGCCATGTCAGTGACATTAGATGTTGTGTAAACAACTTAAAATGTTAAAGCTCTCGAAACTCCCACTCTTAATGTAATCCCTGATTTGAGATTTAAGAGGGAGTAAAGTCCAACACAAACACACCATTGCAATTCGGGCTAATTTCCGACAGGTTTACAAATCGGCTTTCAGATTCTCAGACAGCCCAAAAGTCTTTATGGTAGCGAGCCAGAGTGACATTTGTGCAGCTCTACTTGCTTGATTTGTAGGTAAAATTAGATTCATTAAATGGGCATTTGTAGTGCAGTAAGGGGCCAAGACAAAATAAAGTTAAATATGACGTTACGGAACAGTAAAAATTCATAGCTTCGTAGCAAATGTTGGAACTGATAACAGAAACATATTGAAGACCTGGTTTTCCAGAACAATGTTGTACAATTTACACTCTAAATGCTTCTATGACTGCTTCTACAAGCCTGTGAAGACTCACAGCCACCCTGCTGACCTCATGGAAAAAGAAAAAGGGAAAGCAGTAAGAGGCAGAGAGAGTAAGAATATGAAAGAAAGATAATATAATGATTATCTTTGGCCTTTGGATTATGTACCTGTACTTGGAGAGCTAGAGGCCTTTGTGGGAGTATTGATCTCCTGTGGGTGTAACCAGAGAAACCCTTTCTGCTGTAGGGCTCAACCAAGGCCAAGCCCTCCATCCCATCAGTCATCTGAGTGCTTGGATCCAGCCACCACTAATACTGTCTGTCATAACTTCTGTGTGCAGTTTGTGTTTATTCTGTAACTGTGATAACTACCACATTCCCTCTGCCATCAACTTGAAACCTTGGATAAACAAGTTTTGTTACACGTTCTGTAGCAGGGGTGTAGAAGAGGCTAAACCCACGCAGACTAGACTCAGTTTACCACCTCATCACTCCTCCACAGTGTGACATCTGAGGGCCCTTCAAGGTCTCTGTCTGTATTTAAAGCCATTGGACGTGACAGAGGCGGGCAGTTGTTTAATTTATCCCACAAGCACCTACAGTCTGGTGCAGGGGACCAAAGTGAACCCAGATCCGCCCAGGATCGACCAGACCCACGAGGATTTGGCTGACTGGTGGGATTTACGCCAGGTTCTGTCTGAAACCAGTCTGGTTCTGCGGTGAATCCACAGTGCTGTGGACCTCCTGGTCCTCGCCGTCTGCGAACCATCTGCTCCAGAGTCTATGCTCCTGTAAAACGATGCACAGAGCAACGGTGATTGCCTCAAATCCGCTCTGGAGGAAGCTCAACCGCCTTGTCTGTAGCGGCCAACGTTCGAGACACCAAACAATTCCGGTTTCTGGCAGTCTTTGCGTACGAGAAAGCAGTTAATGCGCGTGCATGCGAATGAGCGTGTGACACACAATTTTGGTGTTTATACTTGCTGAGCGCGAAAGATGCCATTCACTTCTGAGCATTTTAGTTACGCACTCAGCATGATCACATCTGAGTCTGGCCTGTGTTTGGCTTGGAAACCCGACATCCAAACACATTTCTGGATGTGTTTTTGTCAG